AAACTTAGGTAATGTCCTGTTTCAGGCCACACAATAAATGTCTTTTCACAATAAGTAGTAGAAACCTTTATATTAAAAAAAAACAACTTTATTGTGGAGAAACTGATGTGGATCCTCAAGAAACCATTGGTTTGAACCACAGTTCTGAGCAGTGCTTTCATTCAGCTGCTGTCTTCTGGGACTGGCAGACAGACCAGCCCCAGGACCTCCTCCAGCCCTGGTACATGCAGTTCTCCTCAGCTTCCCCTGCAGATCTTCTCTCTGGCATTTGTTACTTTCCTCAGAATACATCCCGTTCTTCTCTCTGTGACATGACAGACCTGAACAGAAAACTTTCTAAGGTTAGTTCCAAGTACCTTGAAGACAAGCTGTTGTATCTCTCTGCCACACAAATGTGTTAACCCCATAAGCCCTAGCCCAAAAACTTCACCCAATTTCAAGCAGGAGCTGTCAGTGATTCCCAGGTACTGTACTTATCATTGTCCACCCAGACAGGCATGAAAAACTAACAACAAAAGTAGGTTTTTCTGCATTTCTCTAGACTTCATCAGGCTGTCCAACTTATTTCTTGACACCAATTATTTTGCAGGTCATATTCTTACCAACAGGTCACTTTTTTTTTTTTTTTTTTTTTTTTTTTTTTTTTTTTTTTTTTTTTTGATTTCTTTTTTTTTTTTTTTTTTTTTTTTTTTTTTTTTTTTTTTAGGTGAGGAAAGTTGTTAGGGAAGGCTTTTTTGTTTGTTTTGTGTGATGTCTCATTTTTGTCTTATAGCCAATTTTCCACAGAATAAATTCACCCTAGACCATCTTTCCCTTAATACTCGTCTCTCTCTGCTTCTCCAAATCACTAGTCGTATTCTAAGGTGCTTCCTCATTTGATTTGCTGGAGTAGAACATATTTGTGGGGTATGGAGTGAGTAAGAGTGAAGTAAGGATATTTGCAATTTAACCTAGTATCTGTGCATTTCATTAATCCTTCCTCCATCAACCACTTAACCTTTATGGGTGTTCTTATTGCCTCTCATTGTATTGATTTCTGTCCATTTCTCCAATTTAGTGAGATCACGCAGTATTTTAAACCTGTCTTCCACTACATAACTAGGTTTAGCTGGGGGGTAATTGACATCAATTTAAGGAATGAAAAATTAAGCTGAATATCCAGGCAAAACTTCCTAATGGTGAGATCTGCTAGAATGCATCACTATCTCTCCATGGGATTGGTGGCCATTCCATTAGCATGTCCATTAAAACCACACCGAAGGAATACAAGATTATAGATCGGACAGAACAACCCTGAAGTAGGAGGGGAAAGACGAGCTGCAAAGCTTTGCATCTTTTCTCCTATGGTCACATCATTCTGGGCTTACCCCACTCCCTCCTCATTCCACCCACCAGTTCTCTGAGGATGTGCTGATCCTGCCATATCAACTAATTACGGGGATGGAACCAATGTGGTATTCCCTCCAATACCACTGCAACCTCTGTTGTGGTGGCGGGAGTGTCGTGGTAGCTGTGAGACCTTCTCAAGGCCCATGGAACAGTTTTCTCACCCCTCTTTACTGCCTCCTGGCAAGCTGTGGGAACAAATGTTTCAGTAAGATCTGTTGTGATAAGAAGTCATGGTGTTACACTAGAAGAGGATAGATTTAAATTAGATATAAGGAAGAAAGTTTGATTTTGAGGGGGGTGAAACACTGCAGGTTCCCAGAGAGGTGACGAATGCTCCATTCCTGGAAACATTCAGGGCAAGATTGGGGAGGGCTCTGAGCAACACGGCCCAGCTGAAGCTGTCCCTGCTCACTGCAGAGGGGTTGGACTAGATGGCTTTGAAAGGTCCCTTCCAGCCCAAACTGTTCTGTGATTCTAGGAAGAAAGGCAGAGCACTCTACAAACCCTTGAGCTGGGGAGCAGAGCCCAGGCTCTGATGTGCTGGAAGGCTCATCTGTCCCAAGCCTGGAAGCACCCAGGATAAGACAACACATGTGAGATCATAAAGCTGCCTTCTACCCCGCAGTATCACTTTGGCACGGACTTTTTCAATGGCATCTATCAGTTCTGTTACCATCCTTCACTTCTTAAAGAAATTACTATCTGATCAACTTTCCTAGCACTATGTTTGAAAACTGACTGCAGAAAGAAGCTGGGTTTTGCTGAGGCACAGACCAGATACAGGAGAATGAAGACTTCTGCTTAAAATACACTGCTGACTCTTAGGCTTGGGAGAGAGCAGGAACAAGCAAGTTCTTTATGCACCTTGATGAAATAGTTTAATTGCAGGAATAGCCAGAAAGAAAGTTCCTTCTCTCCACCTTTAATGGAGAGGTTCTCTCATTTACAAAGGGGAAAAAAAAAAGAAGCTTATTTTCATCTGAAGTTGTTACTACCAGCAACCACTTTTCATTAAAAGAGGACTTCTCTCAGCTCCTGAAAAAGGGAAACATCTTTTTCAGCAACAAAACCCAATATATTTATCTCAAAAGCCAAGTAGGCTGGAATGCATTTTGTTTGGTGGAGGAGGCAACCTTTTTTCTTTCATGTTCTTGAAATTCATCTGCCATGAATAAGCAGATTAAAAAAAAAATTAAATTTCCCTCTAAGAAAATTTTGAAAGAAACGTTTCCACTAGCTCTGCTCAGTTAGCAGCAGGAAAAAAATGGCTCAGAAATGGCTCAATTTCACAGCTGCTCCCCTGAATTTTTCTGAGAGCTGAGAGAGCAAGGAGAAGACTTGCCAATTTCTGATTTTCCCTTAAGAAAGAAATTAGCAGATTATTGTGTAGCAATGGGGATGTTCATGGGACAAAGGGTTGACTGCAGACTCCACACTGGTCAAGAAGAAGAGAAATAATTTTCTCCATGGCAGGAGACTCGGGCTACAAATTTGTCAGATAACGAGTAGCCAGAGGCTGATACAAAAGACTAATTCTCTTAGTAAAACCCTTGGAGAGTTTCCCAATATGAGTCCAAGGCTGGCAAGCTGCTGGAGGAGATGGGAAGAAAATGCAGCCATCTCATGAGGACACTGCCTCTGGATTTCTTCATTGTGTTTTTTCTATACAGCACTTTTTGTAATTCCCTCTGGCTAGAACCATTGAAATGAAACTTATTGACTGAAATTCTGATCCTATTGATTTTACACATGAGATTTGTGCGAATATGAAAGAGCAGGAACTGCTCTGTAACCGCACCCATCTCCATTTATTCCCTGCTGAACACACGCTGTGGGATTGCTTGTCCATCTCAGTCCCCTGAGCTTCCAGAAATAAATTACCCAAAATTCAAATATACTGCACCTATTAGCTCACAAATGTGTAGTAAATATTACTGGTCCTTGAATACTGAGTTACCTTTTGCTTCCTTTTTTCTGCTTTTTTTTCATACCCCCTCTTTACCTCGTTAACCATATGTCCTGTTTTTCCCTTTTGTTTCAGAGGTCAGGAGGGAATATGGGAAGAACATGTTCTGTGAGGAAGAAGGGATGGGAAACAGCACTGGGAGGAGATGATGGCTGCCTGGAAAGAAAGTGCCTGTGACTTCATGCTTAAAATACTCTAAGTGCTATTAGAAATGATATTTCTACCCCTAAGGAAATGGTCCTGGATATGGGATCTGGTGAACTCAGGACAGCAGGTAAGACAATCACAGAGGAGACCGTGAGCAGAGGTCCCAAGTGGAAAACCCACACAGTGTAAGCACATGGTCACCCACACCCAACAGCACAAACAGCAGCCCCCTGCCTTCCCTGAGCCCCTGCATTTCCCTCCCACAGCACAGGGATGCTCCTGTCAAGCCTCCTGCAGCTGGGTGCTTTTTGGCAGAGAGGTGGAGTGGCTTTTAGAGGCAAAATCAGCAGCCTCAGCATTCACACCTACTTCTGAACAACCAAACTTCCCTTTGCAGATTTCTTGTTTACTGAAATGGTGGGTGTCCTTTCCATGGATCAGGTAGCAATCCTTGATTATCCTCATTTTAGTTTGATGCATTTTACCTCACTGTGCTCAATAGTTCTTTCCTCTCGAGATCTTTTTATAGCTAGATTGTCACATATCAATCAATGTTATGGATTAAAGTTGAGTATATTGTGACTTGTCTGGGCCTGTAGGAAAGATTTTAAACAAAGTTCTATTTATTTTCCTTGTTGACACTTGTTTTCTTCTCTCTTTTCCAACCTTGTGAAATGGAAAAAACTTGCCAGGAAAATTTTGGGACTTTAACTCACTAGAATTCTTAAATCACTGTTAGATGTCATGGAATGGTTATGAAAAGAAGGCAGGTCATATGGTGATGTCTGTGACCACGTGCAACACAAAAAACCCAAACCATCTGTTAATTACACTGATGGAAAACATAATCCAACGTGGTGGTGAAACCTGATGCTTTGCACGGACCATGTAAACGATTCACGTTGCAAGTGTTGATCAAAGAGCTCCCAAAGGGCTCCTCGCAGGCCAGGTCACAACCACGGCATTGTGGGCTGGGGGCAGGCGCAGGGTGTGGCTGCAGGAGCTGTGGGGGACCCTCAGGGAGCCAGGGTGCCCACAGTGCCCGGGGCAGTGCCCGGGGAGCCCAGTGCCCACGTACCCACTGTACTGCTGTCACAGCCCCGAGCACTCTGCACTGCATGATTCCTACAGAATCGTGGGGTGGCCTGAGATGGAAGACACCCACAAGGATCATCGAGTCCAACTCCTAGCCCTGAACAGGACATCCCCAAGAGTCACAACATGTGCCTGAGAGCCTTGACAAAATGCTTCTTGAAATCTGCCACCCGCTCCCGCGCCTCCATTCGGCTCCGCCGCCGCCCGCCGAGGAGGGGACAGCGACAGTCGGGAGCACGGGAGAGGGACGCACCCTCCCCCGCCGCCAACCCGCTTCCTCCTCCTTCTCCTCCACCTCCTCCCCCGCCTCCGCCTCCGCCTCCCGGCCGGGAAGAGCTCGCCGTGCCCGCTGCAGCCCCGCTGGATGCACTGAGCGCTCGGGCGCGGGGAGAGAGGGGCAGGAGGGAGCCGGGAGCCCCGCCGCGGAGGCGCTGCGCTACCCGGAGCCTCACGGCCATTTGCTTTAATTCTTTTATTGCCCCCCGGCCGCCTCCTCCTCTCTGCCCGCGGGAGCCAGCCGAGGCGGCGGGGGCTGCATCCCCCCTCCCCCTTTTTTTTTTTTTCATTTTTTTTTTAAATTTTGATCGCCGCCATGGGATGTACCCTGAGTGCTGAGGAAAGAGCCGCCCTGGAGCGGAGCAAGGCCATCGAGAAGAACCTGAAGGAGGACGGGATCAGCGCGGCCAAAGACGTGAAACTACTCCTGCTCGGTGAGAACCCGCCGGTCGCCCCCCCATCGCCCCCCTCCTCCTCCTCCCCCGCGCTTATCCCACCTCATCTCTCTTCCAACAGGAGCCGGAGAGTCGGGAAAAAGCACCATCGTGAAGCAAATGAAGTAAGTCCCGCGGGGGGAGCGAGTGAGCGGCGGTGCGGGGCGGGAGAGCGGGGCGGGGGCTCGCGGAGGTGAGCGAGGGCCGCGGGCGCCATGTTTACCTGAGGGGACCGCGCAGGCACAGCGCGGCGGGGCCGCCGCCGCTCCCGGCGCTGTCCAGGGCCCGCTGGTGCTGAAGCGTCGCCCCGCGGCCTCGCCCCCGGCGGCGGTGGAGGGAGGCCGGCAGCCCACCTTCCCCCTCGGCGCAGATGTCCCCGTGAAGCGAACGCTGTCAGTTAAGCTTAATGTCGGGGTGTTATCCGCCGGCTCTGCGGATTTAAACCAAGGCTCCCTATCACTGAAAGCCCCTTTTATTGAGCTTGTGCCTTCTTCTTTTAATTAATGAACGACGAGCTTGGCCACTCATCTCATTCAAACCTCTCCTGCTCTGGGATCCGAGTCTCCCTATGGTACTCGGCGCTGCTCCTCGCTGGGGCTTCCCACACCCTTTTTCTGTGTTTAATTAGATGTAACCGTGTAATAAACAGCAGTGAAGAGCCCCACCGCAAGGTCTCTTCCAAGCATCCTCGTGGCTCGTGTAAATGCACCCAGTAGGAAAGCAGATGCAGGGAAGGCTAATAGAAGTGGAGGTACACCCGTGGTGCGACTATTCTCCCCCGACCCATTTAAAAAAAAATTAAAATACAATGAAATATCCCGTCCTCCCACCGCTACAAACATGACGGGCTGGTTGGAGGCGGGCGCCATCACTGAGCGAGCCTGGGCGCTGGTTCAGGGTCTGGATTTCAGCTGGGAGCGGTTGCCGCTTTGCGATGCTGGTGGTTGCAGAGGGATCCGTGGCTGGGAGGGGCCCCCCCGGGACCGGGGTTGCTTAGCGAGGGGAAGAGGCTCAGGGATGGGTGTGGATGGGACGCGGGGAGCCGGGAGCAGGTCCCGGCGCGGGGACCCGGGGCTGCGCGGGCCGACGGGCGGGTCCCGGCGCGGCGTTCAGGCCGTTCGCGCTGGACAGCGCCCGGCCGGGGCTCGAACCGGCGGCAGCGGCGGGGCCCCTCCGGCACCGCGCTCGGCTGCCTCCGGAGGGGCCGGGGAGAAGCCTAAGGGGCTCCGGAATAAGCAAAGGGGCCCGTGCCCGTCGCAAGCTGCAGCCCTGAGCTCCCGTAACCGCCCCGGGTGTGCGTGTGTGTGTGTGTGTGAATGTGGGTGTGAGTGTGTGTGTGTATGAGTGTGAGTGTGTGTGTGTATGAGTGTGTGTGTGTGTGTGTGAGTGTGTGTGTGAGAGTGTGAGTGTGAGTGTGTGTGAGTGTGGGTGTGCATGTGCGCGTGCATGTGCGTGCACCACGGGGGCAGATCTGGGCCTTCAGCCCAGCTCCCCTCCAGGCAGGGTGGCTTAGCGGGTGACCCGGATATTTCTGTATCAGCTCCGTGGCTGCTGTGCCCACCCTTCGGGGGTTCAATGAAACCATCATCCCCGCCTGAGGCAGTGCTTTTCCCAAGGCGCTGCGGGGCTGGGAGGTCTCATTGTGAGGAGACTCGCCTCCAGTGCACAGTGGTGTCCGTGGCTTTCCCCACTGACGTTTGTGTACTCTACTTCTGTAGAGGCTCTGATTATCCCTTTTCACTGTTTGAAAGGGGGCTTTTCCCCGTTTTCACCCCCACAGTTTGATTTGGGTCTGGGGTGGGGTAGGTTTGGTTTGCTCTTGTTTGTGTGCAGATGGTGGATCAGGAGACATGTCGCTGCAGATGAACACCAATAAATTATTTAATCTCTAGGAATTGCTTCTGCAGAAGCATGCTGGAATGGCGGGCAATGGGTTTTGGTTGAAGGGAGAGGCTGTAGGAACTACAACAGCGGAGAGCACATGTAGAGCCCATAGGCAGGAGGGCAGGCAGTGACCACGCTGGCTACACAGTAAGCGTACAATCACTCTTGTTTTCCAAAGAGCAGAGCTCTTGTTTTTTGAAGCAAATCACATTAAGATAATAACCTGTTTGCTGGACTAGATTGGTATATTGAGGACTGAAATATACCCATTTTGTGTGTGTGTGTGTATATATATATGTATATATATATACATGCATTTCATTAAAACTATTCAAAGTAAGGCACGCTAGGCTTGCAGCTTTGTACCTAATATGAAAACGTCAAGGAAGCTGCTATGGTGGATGGGCTTATAGTGTTGGAAATTGGGAGGCACCTGTGAGTGTGGAAACTCCAGTGAAGTGTGCGGAGGCTGGGGTGGGGACAGCGGTGTTGCTATGAGCACGGCAGCAGCATCTGGAGAGAGCCGCGCAGCCGCGGGCGCCGGGGAGAGCGATGGGCAGGGAGCAACGCAGGGAAACCAACATTGCTGAAAATTAATTTAAATATAATGTAGGCATTAGCATTTCACCTGGTCAAGCTCCATTAGACAGCCTTGCTGAGAACCTAATGAATTCTTAATAAAGATTAAATCGCATGTTCATTAGGTTTTGATGAAAGAGTGCTATTTTTTTAATACTGTATTATTGGTGTGCTTCTAGATAATAAATCTCATCCTCATGAATGGCTAAAGCAGCTTCACACTTGGATATTGCCTTGAAAACAAGCACAGGACTGTACAGACAGATTGGAGAATGCTAAGACAAAGGAACAGAGATCAGACATTGTTACATAGGACTATAAGAGGTTGCACACTGCCCAGTTAATCCTTGAAATGTTAGGTAGCCGGAGAAAAAGTAGAAAATACAGTAATTTGAGAGTGTAGCCAGGATGCAGATAAGGATTTGTAAATATAATTCAGGATTTTTTAGTGAAATATTTGAAGATACCTTTTAGCTGGTGAGTGGGGAGGTTATTGAGCAAAAAAAAAAGAGGTACTGGTGAATGACAGATGTGGAACTGCAGTCTGGAATGTACATCTCAAACAGTGGCAACACAGGCTGGGAATGACACTTTTCTTAGCACCCATGGTTATTTTGACACCCTTCAGCCGTGCACTTTGACTACTCCACCTTGGCTGATTAATTCTGCTGTATTTTTCACAACCAGTCCTGCAGTCCAGATACTTTTACCCATGTCTGAAAATGAAGGGTCAGAGCCAAGCTAGTCAGAGGAACCGTTCTGAAAGGCATGGTTGTGCCATGCAAGCCAATGAGACTCCGGAGTGTGCCACAGCATTCAGAATCAGGCTGTGTCCAGATTCTGTTTTCACTCAGCTTAATCTAAAAACCATCTGTAACCAAGCAAAGCTGGGGCTTTCCTTTAAAATCCAAGCTAGAAGGTGAGAGTTACTAGACAAGAGAAATTCATCTTCCACTCACACCACCCTATCTCAGTAAATTCACAATGTAGGAGCGCAATGGATGTTAACATTGTTTAGATCCTATGTATTCAAATAAATGTCGAGCACATGCAGAATTTGGAACTTATAATCTTCTTTTTTGGAATACCGGGATTGTAGCATGAAATAGAGACTGATATTGTTCTAGGGTATTTTTGTGGGGACTTAAAACTCTGGTGAATATGCTTGTTCATCAAAAGCCCCAGCGGAGCAGGACACCGAGCATATCTCCATCTCTTACTGCTTTGCAGGACACTGAAATCCGTGCCACGATCCAGTGGTGAGCAGGGTTGGACTGCTTGGGTGGGGACACCATCCGCTCCATCAGCACAAGGCTTCCAGGGAATTCAGTGTTTAATCGTGCTTACCCTGAGAGGCTGACTTAGCTGGCATGCCTTCAGAAACAAGGTCCTGCCACCTACTCAGCAGCCACCGTTCTGGTTGGTGAGCCAGGGCAATATTTCACCTTCCCAAACAAGGGGTTAGCAATAGGTGTGGCATTCCAGAGGAGACATGGCTTCACCTGCCCACAGGAAAAATCTTGGGGTTGTGGTTTTGGATTTTGCTTTTGCAGAAGCAGCAGCTTCTGTCCCCTGCTGAGCTGGGCACAGAGAGCTGGGTCCAGCTCCCTTTCACAAGATGCCGGTGCTTGCAGCCCTGCATGTCCTCCAGAGCAGCTATGTGCCTCTTCATCAGAAGTGCTGGCAGTAACTCAGTTGATAGGCTTCTCTGCTATGCCAGTCATTTTCACAAAATGTTTTTTATGTTAAGTATGAGAAGGACGGAAGTATACAATCAGGAGAAAAATACACTAGTGTGCAGTGTTTATCTTGAAATATCTACTGTCTTCCCCCCAAAAGCCATCAGTCCCAACAGCTGGCTGATATATTGTTCTGACCTTTTTCAAAAAGCCCCTCAAAACAGCCCCAGGTTCTACTTGCTCTCTATGTAACCAAATTACTTATAATCTAATGAACTTCTTCAGTGAGAAGCAGTCCCCGCCCACTGGTTTTACAGCAATTTGATGCCAAATGCCATTGAAATGAAATGATGTGCTGTGAACACCCACTTCAGTGCTCTTTGCTGCATGTCTGTGTCTCAAATCTGTAGTGATTTCACACTTGCAGCCCCTTCCCCCAGGAATACTTCACCCCACAGGAGCTAACAGCACAGAGTTGCTTCGCCTCTGCAGCATCTTCTCAGGGACAGGGCTGCAAACTGTGCCTTCATGGTCTGTCCCACTCCCCAGCACAGCTCTTCTGCCTCTGCTACTGGGTGCAGAGCCCCACTCGGCTCTGCTTCCATCTGGGATCTGTTTGATCGTGGTGTGAGCTGGCAACCCAGAGGCACGAACCTCACTAGAGCACCAGGTCAGGCCGAGCCATCCTCATCCTTACTTATCTCCTGCTGTTTTCCAGGGTTTCTGTGATTTAAAGCCCAAAGTAGGGCAGTGACAGGCTGCACCTGGGCCGTATTTGAGCTGGGTTTCAATAAGCAGGGGAAAGAGCTGCAGCCTTTCCAATAAGCTGTGTCATTCTCCCAAGATCTGCCCCAGCGCACTCTGATGTGGGTGAGGATTTGGAGCCGTGCATGTGGCACACAGACCCAGCAGGAAGGAGGCTCCAGTGGGGCAGTTTTGGCAGTGGAACCTGCAGTGAAAGCAGTAGCAGACTGCCTGCTGGG